GGCGGTTCGATCAGAAAAACCTCATACCGGAAGCAAAACTGGTAGACGCTATTTAGCAGTATGAAAAGGTTGAACCACGATTAAACCATGGTTTCAACCTAAATACCATACCGTTCAATCCTTTCTTTCATATCTCTAACATCCTTCCTAATTAATCGATTCACAATAGAAGCAAAAGGTAGGGATGGTAATTTTACCCATACCATGGGTATTTTACTATCAAATCCAATTGGGTTGGTATGAAATCCAAATAGATGGATATGGGTAGAGTTTGATGGATTTGTACCCACACCCATTTACTTGGGTTGAGTTGGATCTTTTACAAGTGAATTTGGGTTTGTACCCATGCCCAAATGCAAATTATAATTTGGTACCTAAACTTAATAGATATGCATATTTAGTACCTAATTTTTTTTTTTGCATATCGGTCCTCAAAATATCGATGGAAAATTATATTATAGTACCAAAAAATGATCTTAAAATTTGGTACCTAAACTTTTCAAGTTTTACAAATAGGACCAATTTTTTATGTGTAGTTGTAACAATTCAAGTAAATGGATATCCACATCCAAACTAAAACCATTTAGATTATGGAAGCAATATTCATACTTTACCCAAACCCATCTACAAACATCCAAACTCATATGCACTTGAACCATACCCAACCCATTATCAATGGGTCTACTTGGATTTGGGTGTAATTACCCATGGATGGTTAATTGCTAGGAAAAGGTGTTAATCAAACCGAAAGATCGAACAGAAAGATAATCGACACAGAGTTTACATGGTTTCCGCGTTCAGGGAGAACGAGACTAGTCCACGACCGAAGCAGTTGTTCTTCTTATACAATTACCCAACACATACGTACATGGCATATTTATATGCCTACACACCGCAACCCTACGTCCATAATAAGACTAGCCGAGTTCTATGAGGAAGGGGAAAGCATCGGCAGTCTCTAAGTCCAAAACCTACACGTCCAACATAAGCATACAATGGGCTTAAGCCCTATAACCTAACCGACATATATCTTAACGGCCTCCCCCAAATTGATGGAGGTCGCACACCATCAATTTGTGAGAGAGATAGCTATGACGAATAGCTGTGAAGGCCTTTGTCAAAAGATCGACAATTTATTCCTCAGAAGAAATGCAAGCTATACGCAAAGTACCAGCACGGACCAGATCACAGATGTAGTGAACAAGCACCTCTATATGCTTCGTACAATCATGGAGAACCGGATTAGTCGCAATACGAAGGGCACTCGTATTATCTACATAGAGCTGCATGGGTACATCACACTGGACGCCGAAATCTCCTATCAGGCGCTGCAACCACTCGAGCTCCGGAGTGACTTCGGACATGGCACGATACTCGGCTTTGGTGGATGACTTGGAAACTTCATCCTGCTTCTTGCACCGCCAGGAGATGAACGAATTACCAAGTCGAACACACCAGCCACTCATAGAACGACGAGTGTCAATACACCCTGTATAGTCAGAATCAGAAAAAGCCTGTAATGTCAACGAACCAGTTGACGGAAATTGCATCACAACCATCCTCGTCCCCTGCAGATATCGTAGAATCCGGTGGACGGCTAAGTGACAAGTGCGAGGAGCTGACATGAACTGACTAACCACTTGAACCGCATACGCTATATCAGTCCGAGTAGAAGTCAGATAGATCAAAATGCCCACTACACTACCATAATGCTTACCACCATCAGACATTAAGTCACCTGTCTCCCTCCCCAACTTGAGATTCAGCTCCATGGGGGTAGCGACCGAGTTACAATCACCAAAACGAGAAGAGTCCAATAGACCATCAATGTACTTAGACTGGCTGAGAAATATTCCATGCGAAGATCAAGTAACCTCTAGCCCTAGAAAGTAGGACAGTGAGCCGAGCTCCTTAAGCCGAAAAGAAGCATGGAGACCTTTCGTCAGAGCAGCAATCCCGTCATGATCATCACCAGAAACTATCATATCGTCCACATAGAGAAGGAGAATAACAATGCCCCGAGAGGTATTTCGAGTAAACAGGGAAGGCTCAGTCGGACTTTGCTTGAAGCCAAGAGCCAAAATCGTAGAGTGAAACTTATCAAACCACGCCTAGGGAGCCTGCTTCAACCCATAAAGAGACTTCTGTAAGAGACAGACCTGATCAGCAGTACCATAGGGATACCCGGGAGGACGTTCCATGTATACCTTCTCTTGTAAATCACCATGCAAGAAGGCATTCTTAACATCTAACTGATACAAGGGCCAGCGACGAAGAGATGTCACAGCTAGAAGAGTGCGAACCGAAACCATATTCACAACCGGAGCGAAGGTCTCATGGAAATCGACCCCATACTCCTGACTGAAATCTTGTGCCACAACACGGGTTTTGAAGTGTTTAATGGAACCATCAGGGAGCATCTTCAAGGTGTAGACCCACTTACTACCCACAACAGGGATGGGAGGAGGAGGACGAGGAACAAGAACCCAGGTCTTATTTGCATGAAGAGCAGCAGTTTCCTCGTCCATGGCTGCATCCCAGTGGGGGTTCCCACGAGCCTGGGAGTAACGAGTGGGTATGGGTACTGGAGCCACCGGAAAGAGACATAATCTTGCATGCGAAGAGGAGGCTGGCCTTTAGTAAGGCGGTCAGAGCGACGAGGAGGAACCACGGGCGGGTCATTGTCCGACGAGGAAGGCAGTGTGGGGGGCGGAGTGGCAAGAGGTAGCAAATCTCCATCATCATCATCATCATCATCGTCGGCAACATCATGAAGGTCCATAAAGGAGGGCAAGGCTAAGGAAGTGTCAAACAAGGAAGGTGACTCGGTAGACGCGGAGTAGAACATTAGATTTTCAAAAAAGACGACATTACAAGCTATACGAAGATGCCAAGCAGAAGGCTCATAACAGAGATAGCCTTTGTGAACATCACTATAACCAAGAAAAACACAGCGGACAGTCTTAGACGTGAGTTTAGTGCGTTCAGACCGAGGAAGGAGGACAAAGCACAGACAACCGGATACACGAAGACGAGTATATGGAGGATGTTTCGAGAATAGGCGATAGAATGGACTAGACTGACCTAATACTGGAGTGATTTTGTAGTTAATAAGACGAACAACAGTAGACACAGCCTTAGGCCAAAAAGATGACGGAACATGAGATGCTAGGAGGAGGGCACGAGTGACCTCGAGGACATGCCTATTTTTGCATTCTACCAGACCATTCTGTTGTGACACACCAGGACAAGATTTCTGCGAAAGAATGCCCAGAGATCGATAAAGATTCAGTAAGGGACCAGAGCTAAATTCCCCCCAGGATCGGATCGGATAACATGAATAGGTTTGTCAAACTGGGTCTTAATCATTTGAAAAAATTCAGTAGCAACAGGTAAGAGGTCAGATTTAAGACGCAGGAAGTAAACCCAGGTATACCTAGTGGTATGATCGATAAACAAGGAAAAATATTTGTATCCATGACGAGAAGTGACAGGGCTATATCCGCCACAGATTAGTATGAATGAGATGAAATGGCTCGGTAATAACAGTTTGGCTAGATGGAAAGGAAATACTAGTAGTCTCAGCCTCCACACTGCTCGTGCATGCCATATCAAAAGAGTTATCAACGTCAATGGATTTACCAAACAATTCTTGTTTAAACATAGCAATCAACCTACTAGTGTGGGGATGACCCAAGTGGGAGTTCCAAAGCCGAAAAGTATCATGAGAATGACAAGAATAGAAAGACCCTAGACACCGAATGAGGGGACAAAACAGACGACGAGACCGATGATGATGCTGCCGCGGGGTCCTGAAGCTTGTCCAGTTGAAAAATCCAACCCCTTTTGCTACCTTTGCCTATCTCCCGCCCCGTCTTCAGGTCCTGTACAGAGCACCCAGAAGGTGCAAAGACAACCCGACACCCATTATCAGTCAATTGTCCAACAGAAACAATGTTAGGGACAAGTTGAGGCACATGCAGAGTATCAGGTAAAACAACATCAGATCCATGAACATCACCCTTAATAGTCACACGCATCATATCACCATTCGCAACTTGAAGGGATAGATTCTTAGCGGGACGGACATCAGAAAGAATAGACGCATTACTAGTCATATGGTTAAACCATGCCGAATCAAGAATCCAAGTTGGAACTTTACCTGAAACCTGAAGATTTGTAAAAGCAGTGGCAATGGCTTTATTGACCATCTCCTCTAGAGCGGCAGAGAACACGGACGTTTCACCAGGACCAGGCCTAGTGTCGAGAGCAGCTTGAGTCCGCTGCCTCGTTTCTTTACGAACGAGAGTGGCAAGAACACCCTGCAGCTTGAGATCTTCACGGTTGAGCAGAGTAGATCGCACAGCTTCATAATCGGGACGGGGGCGAGCTAGAAATTGGAGCAGCCTTATCTTTTGCCTCTCACGCTGGACTTCAGCAGATGTAGGGCCGGAAATAAGAGCAGCAGTGAGTAGGTCTTGTTTAGTCCAAAGAAGGAGGGCTTCATTAAAGTAGGACGTGATATCAAGGTCTCCTTACTGGAGATTCGCCAATTCCACCTCCAACTCAAATTGGCAGGCGGTGCTAATTATGTCGTACGTATCGGAAAGAGACTTCCACATCTCGGCAGCTGTAGACAGGAGCCGTAAGCCGAGGACTATAGACGGATCCACAGATTTCAAAATCAGGGACTTCACCTTAGCATCGTTCTTGAGCCAGGCAACGAGCTCCTGATCAGTTGACGGCGGAACAGTGGCCTTTTTCGAGGAACCATCCAAAAGACTGAACAGGCCATGACCTTCAACAAAGATTCGAAACTGAAATTCCCATAATGTGTAGTTCTTGGAGTTGAGACGCGTTGCGATGTGATCTGATTCCATCAGGAGAAGCTCTGATACAATGTTAATCAAACCGAAAGACCGAAACAGAAAGATAATCGACACAGAGTTTACGTGGTTTCCTCGTTCAGGGAGAACGAGACTAGTCCACGGCCGAAGCAGTTGTTCTTCTTATACAATTACCCAACACATACGTACATGGCATTTTATATGCCTACACACCGCAACCCTACATCCATAATAAGACTAGCCGAGTTCTATTAGGAAGGGAAAAGCCTCGGCAGTCTCTAAGTCCAAAACCTACACGTCCAACATAAGCATACAATGGGCTTAAGCCTATAACATAACCGACATATATCTTAACAAAAGGGCCCATAGGAAAGGCGATTAGGAAGGGAGAACAAGGGGGGAAAAGAAGCCATTCGTAAAGACTAATGCTGATTGTTGAAGATACCATCCACCGCCCGCCCATAGTCCAAAGAATTTTCCACATACCTAACATGAAAGAAACAAATTTCATATCATATTTCATATTATTGATAAACCCAAAGCAAAACATGTGAAGCAAAGAAAGAAACAGAGCTTGGAAGGAATGGAATTCCACCGCCAGGAGCCAAGTACCAACCACAACCACTGGCCAATGCAGGGCAGACGTTTTTGGTCCTTGCTCGAGTATTGTTTAATCAAAATTAAGGGACCAGAATCAGAAAAGCTTGAGGATGAAGCTCCTTATCTAGCTTGCTTCAAAGTTTTCGATACAGTTTCTGGTCAACCATATACTTCTACTTTGCCTTTTTTATACTTTGCATTGAGGTATAAGACCAAAAGGTCGGGCCGCCTTTTTTGGAATGGATACTGTGGATAACTTTATGGTTAATAATCATGCATAATCTAATTAGAATCTGTCACATCAGCATCTTATCTTTCCTAGAAAGCCTTTAATATTTTTTTCCTTTAGTTTGTAATAGACGATTTCTCTCTCATTTTAAGTCGCAATTCAATTTTTTCTGCACAGATAAATTTAATTGTGTTCTTCAAATGATATCCACTTTGATATATTTTTGAAATAAAAAAAATTTGAGGCATTTTTTACCAGTCTATACCATGGTGGTTTTAATTGGTATTAACATAAGAGCCTACTATATGGTATGAACAGCATACCATGGTCGTATGAACATACGAAGATTGTAGGATAGCTGAATACATGATTGTAGGAGTATGCCAACTGTCATTTACGACTTTCAACATTGTGTGCCACAAGATACCACTCCCCACACCAGGGTGGTATTATATGGCATTTTTTGGTCCTGTATTTTGTTCACCCATAAATTTGTATATCCAATAAATCATGATGAACTCATTCCTTCTGTGAAAAAATTTCAGAAAACGGCTTAAAAATGAAGAAGATACCATATGGTATAGAGTTGGTAACGAAAGGTATGGAATTTGTTTTTCCAAAAAATAATAAAAAATATATCTCATCTTGTAGAACACAACAAACTCGTTCTATCTGTGGAAAAAAAATTGAAATCCAATTAAGACCGAAGAAGATATGATCCGATTAAGGAAAGTAGTGGAAATAAAATGTCTTTAATTCTCAACCCTTAGATCTGCAGCCCACTTAAAAGTAAGGGTCAAGATTCGATTACTGATGGTAAACACCTTAAGGTTACTCACCCTATCTTGAGCGGCGTTTTCCTATCCCCATCATTTCCTTCCTCTTTTGATTTTCCCAAACACAAACATTTTTAATCTGAATCGCAATTCGTCACCTAAAATTCAAACTTTATCGCCCTAAAACACAACAATTGACGCCTCCCCTCCCCTCCCCCAAACCCTAAAATTCAATTCAAACCCTAACCAAAGAATCCCTTCCTCACCCCTAACCCACATCCTCCGCCCTAACCCAAAAAAAAAACGACGCCTCCCCTCCCCTCCCCCAACCCCAATCTGCTGCCGGTGCTGCTATTCGAGTGCCGGAGGGAAGGAGGAAGAAGAATCAAGACGACCGCCTACTATCGTAAACCAAACCATTATCCACCAGAACAAACGTTTTCCTCTTTCTCGCCACACCTGCAAAACAAACAAGTGAAGAGAAACACAAAACCATAAAACAATTAGGTATCAATTATGGTATTGTTTCAGCCATGAAACAAGTAAGACGCTGGATATGTGAAAGGACGGGGATGACCCTCGATATCTACACCCTGACGATCAACATTAGTATTGTGATAGGAAATTGGAAGAACTAGATAGATAGAGATATTGTAGTGAGATGAATGATATGTCAAAATGAGTGGAAGAGAAGGAGAGCACTCTTACTTTTAATACCTAATAGCATATTTATAGTTCAAGCCTTGTCACACTTCTTGGGCTTCTATTGGGCCTTTGAGGGGTTTTCTGTGGATGGGCCCATACGCGCTTGTGGGTCATCGTTATCGTTCGAGTCGGGCCGTGTCATATTTACGGGTCCAATAATTGTCCCCTAGTTAGGTATTTAGTAGTATAATGGATGCCTAACTAACAACATTCAAGTTGTCACATCTTTTGTATTTTGCTTCTGGCATATGACGTGCATGCACCTCTTTGTAGTCTGGTTAGGTGACTCATGTCCCCGAATGTCGTTTTGATTAAACAACTTACAAAAATACTATGCCAAGACTGAGCGATAGAACATATGTGACTCATAGCATGGTTAGAGATATAACTCAATTAGTGACAAAAATCACTTATTGCATTCCTCATGTCTAACAAGGTTACGACATTTTAGGCACCTAATTGAAAATTTGTTTGTATTAGACATATTTACATGCCGAACAATTGTCCCCAAGTTAGGTATTCAGTAGTATACTGAATGTCTAACTAGAAGTCTCTAAATTGTCTAATTTCCAACAAGCTCAATTTTGGGAGTTTGATGTTTAAGCGCTATCTTGTCCCCCTATTCAGTTAACTCATGCCCCCCAACATCATGTTGGATGAACAATCTTGAAACAAGAACTGTGCTAAGAATTGAACAATAAAACATGATGTGTTTCATAACATGGTTAGGAATGAACTCAAATAGTGCCTAGAAACGTATTGTACCACTGAATTATGAGAAGATTACAAGGTTAAATGAAAAGTTGTTTGCCTTGCACAACAACTTATTTCACTCCTGAAGTATAACAAGGTTATGGCGGGTAAGGCGCCTAATTGGAGATTTGTTTGCTTTAGACAAACTTTTGAAAATGCATGTTGTCCGTCCAATTGTCCCCAGTTAGGAGTCCAGTGACATACTGGACGGCTAACTAAAAGTCTTCCAAGTCATAAATATTTTCATAAAGTCACTTGGTACTTCATTTCTTAGTTTTTGTCCCCCATTTCAATATTAACTACTCGAAGAAAAATAAAAAATAATTTAGTGATGCAGTAAAAAGTGACTCATAATAACTTGGAATATAACTCGAGTGATGATAGAAAACACTTAACTTATTCCTTGAGATTTCTCTTTGGAGGTTAGAATTGTAGTGTCCTGACAATAAGTCACTGGCGCCCGTATTTGTCGGTCATGTCGCCTTAGGCACCACAAGAACCTTCCCCCTCTTAGTGACCCGTTGGAAGCTTGGTCTCATATAGACCATGTGGATCTTAATTCCATTTTTAATTTGGTCTGACAACGCTAGCACTCCTTTCCTAGCCAGATGGTGGTAGCAATGCGCCTTTGCCCTTGTGGTAGATGTTTCAATCACACATATCACATTATTCGACCATAACCTGACGCACTCCACATGCTCTATTGGGCCACACTCCAATTCCAAAGAGAGATGAGAATCTGAATAAAAATAATTGTAGCAAAATTCGAACCCACAACGTACCATTCAAATGACGCATAAATACTTCGGGGTTTTCTATAACTCCTTATCTCGATACTTTAGACGTATGCTTGTGCATAAACTCATTCTTACAAAAGTTGACACTCAAAGGAGAGCCTTTAGACGTTCATGACCAGATGCTTACGCTCCATATTCAATTTCTTTGAACGCCTAGATTAGGAATGGTTCTTTACTCGTGATCTTTGAATCAATCGCTTAAAATTTAGAGGGATGCACCCGCACTTGGCAATTGCGCGGCTCTAGGCGCCACAAATATCTATAATCAATGTTTCAAACCTATGATATCACAAAAACCATGTGTTCTTAAAGGCCTCATAGTATTAATGGTGCCAATCTTAGGGCGCCCAGTGGTGCACTAGATAGTTAACCATAAGTTCTTTAACTTGTCAAATTTAAACTAAGATCATTTGGTATTTTACCCCTAGTTAATGTGCCCCAATATCATCTTAATTAAATAACGAAAAATATTCGTACAGATTTTAAGTAGTGCAGTAGATTTCTCTCATGCATTGGTTAGGAAGATAGCTCGAGTAATGATAGAAAATACTTAGCTTATCTCTTGACGTGCTCCCTTGTACATGTACGTCGAATTACAGGGTGTCCTGGAAGGCATCTTCTCATAATGATACGCAGAGGCACAAGCTCTGGTTTAGCAAGCTTTATGATAACCTGCTATTCATGGCAATAAAATTCTATGAAATATAGCCCATTTCATTACTTAGAGGCCTTACGAGTATTACGGGTGCCATATTTGGTCACATAGAGGACATTTCATCAACGATGCAAAATTTGAGCGGAGAGTATTTCCAACAAAAGGCGCTAGACTCGGGCGCATAGAGTATTACCAACCAAAGGCCCTAAATGTGGGCCCGGAGGGTGTTTCCAAGGAAAGGCGCTAGATCGGGCGCAGAGAGTATTTACAATCAAGAAGTCATATATGGAAGATAATGTATTCCCAATTGAAGGTGCTAAATTTGTGCGCTTCATTTTTTTTTCGAAATAAGAGAAATATTTTGCGGAGGTAACATCAAATTTCACAAAGACACAGAGTACTTAGCTTAATTCCAACTGTGTTGAAACTCATGGTCTTTTCAATAAAGGGCGCCCGAGAAATTGAGACAAACCATGATATTGCAGTCAAGTGGCTGAATTACTAGTCTTGACTTGTAGAGGTGTTTGGTTCAATTCTCATAACATGTGCTTACTTCTTAGTTCGTGAACTGGGCGCTTACGCACTTCAAGGGCCGACTTGCTGCAGGCTTCAACGAATGCAATGCCTTGGGTCTCATATAGACCGGATACTCAGCGCCTTCAGGCCTCTTATAGACCAGGCATTGAGCGCCGTGTGGGCTTGGTGAGCGCCTTGTCTGGAAGATTAATATTGGCCGCCGGTCATATTGAGTCGGATTGAGGAAATTATGCTAATTGCTACACTACGAGATTCCCCAACACTATAGGTTCCAATGCGCTAAACCCTCTCATTCCACGGATATCACCCAAATCTGAGACTTCCTTCTCGGTATTTCTTCTTTTTAGTCCTGAGTGCATGCCCAATCTTTTGGAAATACGTTGTGTTGCCTCCTTTTCTCTTTCATTTATTTCATGCACCTCTATTATTCTGGAAGAGATATCCATGAGCCTCTATTCTCTTCTGGATGAGAAGCCTTATAACATGTGTCTTTGACAAGCTCTTCCATCCTTTAGGCGTATTGACTATTTTTCTACAGGCGCAGTGTGCTTCTTCTCTCTTGTCGTGACTTCATCTACTCTCAATTTGAATCCTCACAAAAATAAGTGACATGACTAAGCGCTCTATTTTTCCTCAGATGTCTTTAAAATTACAAATCTGGCTTCGTTGAAATCCCACGATCCGCGTTCTCTCCTCAACGCGAAACTCCACGTCTTCCTATCCGATCAATACCCAACAAAGTGACAGCCGGGAGACACCAGTTTCTTCCTCCATTGCGTCCCATGGGTCTTCCCACTAATCCCATGAGACTCGATGCAAGAGCCGTCTCCTCCGAACCGAAACGACGCTATTCAGGAACGTATTTACGGAGGAGGACGACGAACGGACTGATTTATGATAAAAGGGATTTGAGTTTTTGGTACGAGGCTAGGAAAGAGAAAGTGGGCGATGGTAGTGAGAGTTTGATCTGGGCTTTCTATAGCTCCCCTTTTCCTTCTTTTCAGAGCAATCCCAATAATTGTATTTATAGATCGACTTTGATCACTCATCTTTTTCTTCTTTTTCAGATTGAACAAGCAAAGTAGTGGATTGGTTCCCTCCTTTCCTCAAAAACAATCAACTTAATTACTGACTTTCAAGAAGGCCTACTGAAAAGTAGATATGGGTTTTTGGGACAAAGGAAGAAAGATGAAAGGCTTAATGAAAAGTAGATATGGTTTTTTGGGTCAAAGGAAGAGAAAGATGAAATATTTGATGGCGGTTAGAGCATTCTTTCCCCTATTCCATTAGGACTCACCATAAGCATATAACGTTGCCCAGAATCCGACCCCTGAGAACATCAGATTTGGTTTCTCTCATGGTTCTTCCCACCATTTCATTGGCCAGAGAAGTCGACCAAAGCTACGCTTCCATTTTCTTTTTTTTTACAGACGAAGACACTAGAAGTTCGAAGAATCTTCACTTCCTTGCCGAATTTTGGAGCGTGACTTCCTAAGGTTGAACCACAAACCCACCCAACTGAAACAAGTAGGACTACGGATCTGTGAAAGGGCGGGGATGACGCCCAATATCTACACTCCAATGATCAACATTTGTATTGTGATAGGAAATAGGCAGAATTAGATAGAGAGAGATATTGTAGTGAGATAAATGATATGTCAAAATGAGTAGAAAAGAAGGAGAGCCCCTTTACTTTGAAGTCCTAATAGCATATTTATAGGTTAAGCCTTGTCACACTTCTTGGGCTTCTATTGGGCCTCTGTGGTGTTTTGCGAAGATGCGCCCATACGGCTTGTGGATCATCGTTGTTGTTTGGGTCGTGCTGTGTTATATTTACGTGTCCAACAGGTACTATAACAATTAACGAAAGCTCATGAGGAAAATGAGAAGCATAGAAAATACCTCCGGTTGCAATTCAGAGCTAGCGGAAACGGAGCCATCTGCCACCTTTAAATTGTCACATATTGGTTGGCATGACAATGCCGTGAGATGGTAATGACGTGAAAGGAGATTTACATTTACCCGTCACATTGAGTCCATTACATATGTTGTGTTATTTCTCACTAGCCTAGACAAAGTCGTCGATGGGAAAGGAGAAGCACCAACATCGGAGAGTCTCCTCCGACTAACAACTCTCCTCGATTGACCGCACAGCCCAACAAATGAACTAAGGACATTAAAGTAAATTAAACTTAATTAGGACGTCGAATAAGAAATTTTAGTGCGACGAATAGCAATGCCCAATACTAATCATCGCTCTACTTTTATTCTTTTGCCCTAACATACAAGTTAATATTACTATTTTACCCTTTATTATTTTCAAGAGATATTTTATTTAATTTTAACAAACACAACTTACCCTCAATGTAAAAAAATTGATATTCTACCAAAACAAAAAGATTGATCGATTTGACGTCATCACTACCCGTTTCCAACATTACCCACTGCCACTACCCAACTCCGGCGCCGTGGAAAAGGGCGACCAACGTCAAGACAATAAAGAAATTCACTATAAGTATTTACATTTGAGCACTTCTACTATGCTCTAAAGTATGGGTGCTTTAATGTACAATTTGAAATTGTACCATAACGTTAAATGTATAAGTTCAGGTTGTACCATAAATGAATTTGTACCCTTATGTTATGGTACAACTTTACAACTTAAAATTGTAACATCACATAAATGTACAAGTTCAAGTTGTACCATGAAAGAACTTGTCCAAAATAGTATAGGTACAATCTATAGTTGTACCATAACGTTAAAGGTATAACTTCAAGTTATACCATAAAGAAAAAAACCTATAACAACAATGCTATATAGCTTAGTAAAATTCCTCATTTAAATTTTCATAAGAAAGACTAAATAACTTAATAAGGTATAAACAAGAAGCATTAAAATAAAAGAAGGGTTTTTTGGTCACCAAATGATGATTGGTGGGAGTAGGGATGATAATGGGTCGGATTGGGTCGAGTTTTGCTAAACTTAAACCCAAACCCATGGGTTTATCCGTCAAAAAACCAGGGTAAAACCTACTGGTTTGGAAACTCAAACCCAACCTAACCCGCTGGGTATCCGCGGGTTCATGGATACCCATAGATTTTTGTACTAAAATTTTTACAATAACAAGTTCCTATCAAAATAAAATTCAAAGATCAATTTTCCCATTCAAATTATCCATACATAAAACACCAATCTAGAAAATTCAAACATATCACAATTACACTAAATAAAAGCACATGAAATAAGTGTAGTGAGAGTTAGATTGGGGGAAATTAGAATTGGGGTAGGGTTTGGCGAGAGTAGGGCGACGAAATAAGTGTGAGCGGGTATCCATGGGTCGGGTATCCCTAAATCAAAACACAACCCAACCCGGTGAATATTTTACGGGTCTAAACCCAAACCCGGCCCGAAACCCGTCAACACGGGTAAAACTCGCGTTGACCGGGTTGGGTATGGTACGGTACCCGTGGGTTCGGTTTTGTTGCCATCCCGAGGAGGGAGGGATGACACCGGCTGGAGTAAGAGGGTCAACACCGATGAATTGAAATGAGCACAGAGGTGGAGCGGAGG